CCGGGTCGGCCCCTCGCCCCGGAGAGCTCGAACGCGGGCTCATAAAAAACCCAGCGGCCGCCCAGACGGCCAAAGACGGCCCAAGAGGGCCCTGAGTGGCCGAAACATCGCTAGACGCTCAATATGTTCCTCAGACGGCTCCAGAAGCCTCCAACGTACCCTCCCAATACCTCCTAAGAGTGCCCAAAGACGGAAAATCTGTCCCATTCCCTTAGGAAAACGTGCATTTTTTGCATTTGCGCTTCTTCGGCCTTCGCAGTGTCCAACACGGCCCAAGAGACCCCCAAAACAGGCCCAGAGACTCTCAAGAGGGCCCCAAGTCGGCCCAAGAAGGGCCCAAGACAGCCCGGGAGGTCCCCAAGACAGCCCAAGCGGGTCCCAGGATGGGCCCAAGAAGCGCCTAAGAGGGCTTCCATGATGGCCCCAGAAGGGCCCAAGACGGCCCAAGAGGCGCCCAGGAGGCACCAAAATGGCCGTAGGAGTCCCCAAGAAACCCCGAGAGGCTCCAAGTGGCCCTCAAGAGGCCCCCAAAAAGGCGCCCAAAAGCGCTCCCGAAGGCCTAAATTACCTCCTACACACACCCAGGAGGCCTCCAGGATGCCTCCTGCATGCCCCCCAAGAAGCCCAAAAGGCCCCCAAGAGGCTCAACAATCACCCCCAAGACGCCCCCCCAGGAGGCCTCGAAGATGCGTCGTAGAGGCCCCTCAAGAAGCCCACGCAATTCCTCCAAGCTGTTTCCAAACCACTTAAGTTTGAACAAGCGCGCTGGGGCGAAAGCGTCCTTCTGACAGCGGGATCGTCCCGGAACGGCGGCACCGGCCGGAGGCCTCTACAATTTATAATGGAACACGTAGCAGTATGATCAAGATACAGCTATGGAGCAGGATGCACAGCTAACTGCGCAACATCGATGTGCTCAAAAAGGCGGCAGAACCCTTAAAGTCCAGTTCGATGGAGTCCTCCCCACACGAACCGCCCATAAGCACCGCGGCGATGGAGAACACCCCACACAAGCCGCCCATCAGCACCGCCACACACGTGCAAGGAGCGAGAGAGAAACGTCCCGCGCGGACGCCACTGCGAGCATTGAAGACCGCATTCTCGTCGCATGGACTAGAAGCAAACTTGTAATGTCCTCCTCTCCCCCTCCTCCTTCGACAAGATGGCCCCTGCGACGTAATGCGCAGACTCATCTCACTGCGGGGTAAGGTTGTGCATGGTACGCGCAAGGCCGATGGATGAATAAAGGTTTCGAAGGCACAGTGAATCTTCCAACGCACGTGCTTCAACACACTCTTCTATGCAGTTCGGACCCGCAAGTGCGCTCACCATTCGCAGCCTTCTCTCGCCCCTCGGCGTCACCAGATCCACCCCCTCGCCACCTCGGTGAGCCTCCCACGGGCCGCCCCCTGCCTCCTCGGCAAGCCCACGGGTGCGCCTGGGCCTGGCCCTTGGGGAACGCACTCGTCGCCCCGCGCTGCCTGCGCAGCAGGCGCCCTTCAGGGTTTTGTGAGCCTCTGGGGACCTATGGGGCGGGTCCAGGGGACTCTTCGGGGCCTATATCCGGAGCGTCTTTGCATCCTCGGGGGTGCGTCTTCGGGCGTCATAGCAGCCTCTTGTGGCCTGTCGGGGCCCCTCGGGATGCCTCTTGGGGGCAGTTTGGGCTCTCTTGGGAAGCATGCGCAAGTCCTGGAAGCGTGCCGGAGGCAAAAATGCGATAACGCCAAAGTCATAAGGGATCCTTGGGTTTCTCCTTGGGGCTCTTGCGGGCCTCCTGGGGCGGGCTTGCGCGCTCTTGGGGGCGTCAAGGGCCGTTGGGGGGCCGTTGTGGGCAATCTTGGAGCACTCTTGGATTGTCTTTGGAGCGTCCTAGGCCGCCTTCAGGGCTTCTGGGGGCTCTCTTGGAGCCCCGGGAGGCAGCAGATGTCATCGAAGTGGGCGGGCCCCCCCGGGGGCAGAGCGCGGCAAATAATGGAAAATACATGATTTGGGATAGGTCGGGCATGTCGTCCCACAGGCGAATGTTAGAAGAAAAAATTCACGATAGTTAAAAAATTGTCAGAAAAAATGTCCCCATACTGATGTTTTGACTATGTTTGAATATTCCTCCTGTAGAGGGACATGCCCGACCTAAACCTGATGGACAATACATGATTCGGGGCTCCCGGAACGGTCTTGTAAGGCCTCGTGGAACACTCTCGGGGCGCCTGGGACACAGTTTTGGCCGCTGGTGGCGCCGAGCGAGCCTCCCGAAACGTCAAGGCCGCCGTGAATCACCTCCTCCTCCTCCTCCTCCTCCTCCTCCTCCTCCTCCTCTTCCTCCTCCTCCTCCTCCTCCCACTTCCTCCTCCTCCCTCCTCTCCACTTCCTCCTCCTCCTCCTTCCTCCTCCTCCTCCTCCTCCTCCTCCTCCTCCTCCTCCTCCTCATCCTCCTCCCCTCCTCCTCCTCCTCCTCCTCCTCCTCCTCCTCCTCCTCCTCCTCCTCCTCCTACTCCTCCTCCGCCTCCTCCTCCTCCTCCTCCTCCTCCGCCCTCCGCCCTCCCTCCTCCTCCTCCTCCTCCTCCTCCTCCTCCTCCTCCTCCTCTCCTCCTCCCTCCTCCCTCCTCCCTCCTCCCTCCTCCCTCCTCCCTCCTCCCTCCTCCTCCCTCCTCCCTCCTCCCTCCCCTCCTCCCTCCTCCCTCCCTCCTCCTCCTCCTCACCCTCCTCCTCCTCCTCGTCTTCTTCTTCTTCGTCTTGTTATTCGTCGTCTTCGTCTTATTATTATTCTTAGTATTCGTCTTCTTCTTCTTCTTCTTATTATTATTGTTATTATTATTATTATTAGTATTATTATTACCATCATTATTATTAGTATTGTTATTATTATTATTATAATTATTAGTATTATTACTATTATTAATAACATTATTATTACTACTATCACTATTACTATTACTAGTATTGATGTTATTATTATTATTATTATTATTATTATTATTATTATTATTATTATTATTATTAATGTTATTATTATTCTTATTATTATTATTATCATTGTTATGTTTAGTATAATTATTATTAGTATTAGTATTATTAGTATTATTATTAGTAGTAATATTATTATTACTATTATTATTAGTATTGTTATTATTATTATTATTATCATTATTATTATTAATCCTCTTCTTCCTCCTCCTCCTCCTCCTCTTTCCCCATTCCTCCTCCTCCGCCTCCTCCTCCTCCTCCTCCTCCTCCTCCTCCTCCTCCTCCCTCCCTCCCTCCCTCCCTCCCTCCCTCCCTCCCTCCGTCCCTCCGTCCCTCCGTCCCTCCCTCCCTCCCCTCCCTCCCTCCCTCCCTCCCTCCTCCTCCCTCCTCCCTCCTCCTCCTCCCTCCCCTCCCCTCCCTCCTCCCTCCCTCCCTCCCTCCCTCCTCCTCCCTCCCTCTCCCTCCTCCCTCTTCCCTCCTCCCTCCTCCCTCCTCCTCCCCTCCTCCTCCTCCCTCCTCCCTCCTCCTCCTCCTCCTCTCCTCCCTCCTCCCTCCCTCCTCCCTCCTCCCTCCTCCCTCCTCCCTCCTCCTCCTCCTCCCCCTCCTCCCTCCTCCCTCCTCCCTCCTCCCTCCTCCCTCCTCCTCCTCCCCTCCTCCTCTCCTCCCTCCTCCCTCCTCCTCCCTCCTCCTCCTCCCTCCGCCCCTCCCCCCCTCCCTCCTCCCTCCCTCTCCCTCCTCCTCCCCTCCTCCCTCCTCCTCCTCCCTCCCCTCCTCCCTCCTCCCTCTCCCTCCTCCCTCCTCCCTCCCCCTCCTCCCTCCTCCCCCTCCTCCCTCCTCCCTCCTCCCTCCTCCCTCCTCCCTCCTCCCTCCCTCCTCCCTCCTCCCTCCTCCCTCCTCCTCCTCCCTCCCTCCTCCCTCCTCCCTCCTCCTCCCTCCCTCCCCTCCTCCTCCTCCCTCCTCCCTCCTCCCTCCTCCCTCATCCCTCCTCCTCCTCCTCCTCCTCCTCCTCCTCCTCCTCCTCCTCCTCCCTCCTCCTCCCTCCCCCTCCAGGGGGAAGAGAAGAAGGAGCCCTCTCCACCTGCCTCTTCCGCTCCTCCCACCTTCTTCCTCTCTCTTGTGTCGGCACCGCCCGCCAGCCGAAGCGCCTCTTTCCCCCGTCTCTTGGCGGCGAGCGAGGGGGGGAAGTGAGAAGGAGAAGGCCTTCTCAAAGGCGGCGGGACTTCTCAGAAGCCCTCGCGCCTTCTGAGAAGTTTCCTGCGTCTTCGGGAAAGGCTTAGAAAACTTGCTGGGGAACTTCCGAGCCTTCTGAGAAGGCCTTCTCCTTCTCATTCCCCCCCTCGCTCGCCGCCGAGTCTCCTCTTTCCATGCTGTCTGTAGCCATTTTGGCCCAACCGCCCCGCTATATCGGAGGCGCTGCTGTGCCCTTCCGCTGAAGCGGCGCCGCTTGCGTCGCGCATGTCGCCCTCCGGCCGGGCGTCGGCGCTACATAATCACCGGCGCCGCCGCCGTGCGCTGCAACTTGGCGGGCGCCCCCCCCCCCCGAGATTCGCCCGAGCAGAGGAACCATTTGTTTAATCACGCGCCCCCCACATTCGCGCGGCTGAGATCCGCCACCGTGCCCTTGGAACGAAGTGGAGCGCCCAAGGCTCACAGCTGTGCGGCTGATGCATCGGCCCTCAAATACCACCCTTCAAAACGGGTGAATGTAAACGGGTGCATCTAAATGGGTGAAATTTAAACGGGTGAAAAAGCATGACCCCCTAAAGGCGCCCCTGGCGCCAACCGACGGGGCCAACCGACCGGCGAGAGCCCCGGCACGCTCTGCGCCCAGCGAGCGCCCCGCGAGCGCCGCCGTGGCTCGTGCGCCCCTGTGGGCGACCCAAGACTCGGCGGCGACGATAGCATTGCACGTGTTCGCCCGGGAGCCTTGTCGAAGACATAGATCATCGGCGCACCTGAATGCATGTATTGCTCCCCCTTTGGGCTATTCGCCCCTACCGTCGCCTCCGAGACCAAGGACAAAACGAAAGGACAACTCACCCGTCGAGCGTGGTGCGTACGCTCGGGCGCATGGGAACGCGGACGAACTGCCCGAACGAGCCGCGAACCTTGGTGGTCCCTGGACAAGTCGACGAGCTCTCGAGCATCGCTCTGGACTCCGAGGTCGCGCGCGGGAGCGGGATCTGCCGACCATGGTGGAACACAGCGGGCCTGCAATGATCTGGCACGTCCTGCTTGTGCATGATGGCCTTGTTGAGATGTCGCACAACGTTCGCCCAGAGTCCCTGCACATCTGCCCAACTCACTGCACACACATTGTGGCATCCAGATGCTGGCCACGATGCGAAGCCGTCGAAGACTTTTTGAAAGCGCACTGCGTGCTGATGAGTCAGCAAATTCACAAACGCATATCCGAAATTGCTCGCAGATACGAAATTCGCCGGAAGATACAAGAAATCGAACTGCTCCTCGAAGCCCTTGCTCTTAACCAGATCGACCAGCTCGTCACGGGATAACGTGGTGGGCAGATTGCGCATCATTACCGTGGTCCGCTGGTCGGCGCTCGAGCCCATGTGATCATACACCACTCTTGGGACAAAGGCGGCCGCCTTCGCGTTCAAGGGCGTGCGCAGACTGCCCGACTCCTGTCAAAGAGTGCTACATCCAGCTCCAAAATCTGCACCTGCATGGGACACATCGCTCCGCTGCCTCCGACGTCCCCAGCATCCTCGCCGTCCCGGATTTCCTTTCTGACCGACACACTGGAAAACAAACATGGCGAGTCGATGCAGTCGCCTTGCGTGGGTACATCACCAGGCGCGTTTGCCTTTGTCATGAAGGACGCGTCTCGAGGCATCGAGGCGTTCGAAGAGGCGCAAACAACGTTGTTCGGTACCGGCTGAAAGGAGTTATCAAGCCGTGTGTTATTCTGTCGAGTGGGGGAATAGATGGGAATAGGAGGCATCACGGTGCACACGATTTGGACGTCGGGCCCAGCTGGCTTGAGCTAAACTGGCTACAGATGCGTTGTGGGGGGGCTCTTGGGCTCAACTTGCGGCCTCTTGGACCATCTTGGCGCATTTGGGGGTCCGCTGGGGTCATCTTGGGCCGTCTTGTTGCCCTCTCGGGGATCTCTGTAGCCGTGCTACACAACGGACCGAAATGCGTGTGCGGAAACGAAGCCCAGGTACATAGTTGGGCAAGCCCCCCAAAACTGGCCTCAGGATCCCCTAGAGGCCCACCATAGACGAAGAGGCTTCTCAGAAGCCTGCAGGAGTTAAGAGGACTCCCAGGAGCGCCCAATAGTCTCTTAATATACACACACACACGTTTCCCGTCAGCGGTAAGTCGGCGAACTCCGCTCCAGCGAGAAACTAGAAAGGAGCACTAACTAGCGAATTGGCCGGCAAGCAAAGCAGGGGGGGGGACGGCCCAGAGGAAGAAGGGACGCTCAGACGTCGAAGAGTTCGACGATGAGCAGCCGGGCAGGGCAGCAGCATCCAGGCGCACAGGGGCCAGAGCGCGGTGGGCGGCCGTGGCAAACCACGGTGGCAAGGGTGGCGGGAGGGCGGCTGCCATCAGCTGGAGCTGGCGGGCGGGCGCACTGGGACACCGCGAGCGGCAGAGGCACCGCGGCGCGCCGGGAAGTGGGCGCGGCACGGCGCCGCGCGGAGGCAGGAGCAGCGCGGCCAGATGGCTGGCAGTGACAGGGGGCATTGCGGCATGACCGCCCAAGGGCGCGCCAGGTGGCCAAAGGGGCCAGAAGAGGTGGGGCAGGAGGCGGCGGGCGAAGCGTCCCAGGAGGAGGAGGAGGAGGAGGAGGAGGAGGAGGAGGAGGAGGAGCATCGCAGCGGGAGGGGGGCGGAGGAGGAGGAGGAGGAGGAGGAGGAGGAGGAGGAGGAACATCGCAGTGGGAGGGGGGCCGCGCGGGGCAGCCGCGGAGGGCGGGGAGCACCGAGAGGTGCAGGAGCACGGGCAGCAACGCAGGGCGGCCCCATGGGCGGTGCGTCGTGGTGCAGCAGAGAAGCACCGAAACGGTGCATGGGACAGTGAGTGAGCGACGCGCGTCCCCTACAGTCGGGGCGTTGACCTAAGGAACCCTAAATAAGGAACGAGGCGAGGTCCCTTTTTCCATAAGTTGAACTTCAAGCCCCCGTCGAAAACATAAGGAAAACCTGCGGCAAGCTGCGAAACAATTAAGGAACACGGAGCCCCTCCCCAACGAAAAGGGTTCCTTGTCCAGCGCCCCGACTGTACGTGTGGTGCGTCGCGAGGGGGCGGCGGCGGGGAGCACCGAAAGGTGCAGAAGCCAGGTAGCAACGGTGGGCGGCCAAATGGGGGGTCCTGCGTGATGCAGCAGACAAGCACCGAAGTGGTGCAAGGAACACTGCGCGGGCGACGCGGGTCCCAAACGGGAGGTACGTCGCAAGGAGAAACAGTGAAGGAGGGCACCGAGGAAGTGCCAAGCCAGGTGCGGAGAGGCGCCCAGCCCAAAAGGCCACACGCCTCATGCAAAGCGGTCTGTCGCGGCGGAAGAGGGAGGGAGCACCGAAGTGGTGCAAGGAACAATAAAGGGCGGCGTCGCACGTCCCAATGGGAAGCACGACGCCATGGCGAGAGGGGAGGAGGGATGAGGGCCATGTGTGGAGTGGCGCGGTGCCCGCGGGCGACACGCCCCGTAGAGGTGCCAAGTGCAGCTGGGTGGTGGTGGCTGCGGCGGTGCAGGTGCTTAGCGCCGAGGGCGGAGGCCCGGGGGCGCCGTCCCAGGCAGTGTCAAAGCGGCGGTTGCTGGGCTGGCCGCCTTTATCGCGCCCTCTGCCTTGCTCGGAACCGATAGCCGTGACCAAACTGGACCGAACCGGCCCCAAACGAAGAAAATCAAAAACCGAACCCGACCGAATCGAATGCATTCAGAACCGAACCGGGGGGAACCGAACCGAACCAAAACCGGAACCGAACAAGAACGGGGCGACCCCCGAACCGAACCGACGAGAACCGAACCGGACGTCCCAACCCAGCCCGCACAAGACCGCAGGACGACGACCCCCCTTGCCCACCCCGGAACCCCCTGCAAGACCCTCAGGACCAAGGACCTCGTCGTTGGACCCAAAACGGCTCCAAGATGGCCCAGGAGGGCGCCGGGACCCCCCCTGGTCGGGACCCCCCCAGTCCGGACCCCCCCCTGTCCGACCCCCCCCAGTCCGGAACACCCCCCGGTCCAGACCCCCCCGGTCTGGGCCCCCCCTGGTCCGCGGACCCAGAGGATGTTTTGTCGACAACTAAGTGTCAACATTGTCATTTCCAGTTGAAATTCGACGAAAAATTAAATATGACAACATAGTTTGTCAAATTCGTTAGTTTTTGTCGGCATCTATTGTGTCGAATTGGCAAATTGTCGATAGATTACTAGAAGATGTCGACAGCATGCGTTTTTGTTTATCTTGTTGTGATCCACTTGTTGTCAAAGAGTGGTCACAGTGAATCTGTGTAATTCCACAAACCCTTTGGGCGGAGGTGGTGTTCAGCGTTTTCTGGGGAGGGGCTACCCCCCTGGCCCGCGAGGCCCCTAAGCGGTTCCCAGCGGGAAAACAGGCGCAGGCCTCTTTGGTTGACTCCTGTCGTCGCGATCGTCGTCTTCGTCGTTGCCTTCCTTCCACTTCCTCCTTATCCTCCACTTCTTCCTCCCCTCAATTCCTCGTCCTCCAGTGATGCCAAGTCAGTCTCGGGGGAATGGCAGAGGCGGAGCTGCCACGGTTCGCCCCCTGGGGAGCCTCTTGCAGCGGCGGCGGGGGGGAGGGGGGCAGACAGACAGAAGCATTGCATCCAGGTGGACGCGTTGGCAGGAAGAATACAAGTGACCAAACGTTACTCCAAACGCTCGAAGCACAAAGGTGTGGTCAAACGCCACACGAAGCACTCGAAGCACGCAGGCGTGAACAAACGCCATACCTGAAGATGACGACGGGAGGGGTGCAGCGCTCCCCAAAAAGATCACCTGCGAAGCAAGGGTTCGGGCTCGGGCTCGGGCTCAAGCGAGCTCCTGCCCAGAGGCGAAGCCGACGAACTACTTTTTAGTCAGCGGCCGCGGGCGAGCGCGCCGACGGCGAGTCAGGTCAAAGCGGGCTACGCAGCGACGACTTAGGCGAAAGCAGCGGCAACAGGCCACGCCTAACGCGGCTAACCGAGGCCTCACGCGGCGAAGCCGACGAACTACTCGCTGTTCCAGCTTTCCCGTCTCATTCAGATGTAAGGGGAATCGCTGCTTGCCTTCACCACAGTGGGGGCCAATCCACAAGGAACCTGCCACGGGCGACCCAACCCTGAGACCCCAGGGCGTCCATCGGCGCTTGGTGTTGGAACGTCGCGCTTTCCATCGCAGGACCCCTCGACACCGAAGAAACCAAGGGCACCCTGGAGACAGGCAGGGTGTTTCTTGACATGCGTCTCCACCAAGATGCGAGCAGAACGTCGTTTGTGTTTAAACCGTCGTTTTCGTTTAAACGGTGCAAAAAACGAAAACGGCGAAATCCTCAAATCCTCAAACGGCGTTGAAACAAAACGTCGTTTTTGGGCGTTGTAAAAACGGAGCGTTTCGTAAATGCGAAAACGGTGTGACAAAGTAGAAAAACAACGTTCTGCTCGCATCCTGGTTTCCACTGCAGGCCACTGGGCGAAAGAATCAAAACTTTCGTACCAGGACGTCGGGAGGCGCCGGGGAGCCCCGCGCCTGCAAGGCTCGAGCCTGGACGACCTCGAGGGCCCCTCCGGTAGACAGCGTGCGCTCCTCCTGGAGCTGCCCGCCCACCCCCCAACGGCGGGCGTTCCCGCCCTGACTGGAGGGCCTGACATCGAAAGAGGGACCACTCTCCCGCCCAGGAGCCCCCAGCCCTCCTGTTCCTCCTCCTCCTCCTCCGCCTCCTCCTCCTCCTCCTCCTCCACGTCCTCCTGATCATCATCCTCCTCCTCCCCTCATCATCGGCATCAACAACAGCAGTATCATCATCATCATCATCATCATCATCATCATCATCAGCAGCAGCAGCAGCAGCAGCAGCATCATCACCACAGCAGCAGCATCAGCATCAGCATCATCATCATCCTCATCCTCCTCCTCCTCATCATCGTAATCATCATCATCATCATCATCATCATCATCATCATCATCATCATCATCATCATCATCATCACCATCATCATCATCATCATCATCATCATCATCATCATCATCATCATCATCAGCATAATCATCATCAGCATCATCATCATCATTATCAGCATGGTCGTCATCGTCATCATCATCATCATTATCATCATCATCACCATCATCATCATCGTCATCATCATCGTCGTCATCATCATCAGCAGCATCATCATCATCATCAGCAGCATTATCATCATCAGCATCAGCATAATCAGCAGCAGCATTAATAATGCCAATGATGATGATGCTGATAAAATATCAGCATCATCATCATTGGCATCACCACCGGCATCATCAGCAGCAGCAGCATCAGCATCAGCATCAGCATCATCATCAGCATCAGCATCATCAGTATATCAAACAGCATCAACATCATCAGCAGCATCAGCATCATCAACGTCACCGTCATCAGCGTCAGCATCAGCATCATCATCATCATCATCATCAGCATGGTCGTCATCGTCATCATCATCATCATCATCATCATCATTATCATCATCATCACCATCATCATCATCATCGTCATCATCATCGTCGTCATCATCATCAGCAGCATCATCATCATCAGCAGCATTATCATCATCAGCATCAGCATAATCAGCAGCAGCATTAATAATGCCAATGATGATGATGCTGATAAAATATCAGCATCATCATCATTGGCATCACCACCGGCATCATCAGCAGCAGCAGCATCAGCATCAGCATCAGCATCAGCATCAGCATCATCATCAGCATCATCAGTATATCAAACAGCATCAACA